ACTATGTATATCATAGTTGTATCTTAATACTATACAGTTCTCTTCTTCTTGTCAAAGTCCACTTAGGCCAATTCAATTACTTTAGAATTCAGTTGATAAGCCGACCTTATTTTTCTCTATTTTTATATTAAACACTATCAGTGTATAATTCACTTACTCCTTTTCTTCACTCTCTTTTTATTTTCTCTTTATCACAGCAGTATCAGGGTATAATTAAATTACACTGCCTCGTGAGTTACCTCAGTTGTATCCTGAACTTTCGATACTCATCTGCTTTTTCGCATTTAGGCCTACTTCCAATAATCGTCTGCTTTTTTGTATATAAGCCCATTTCCAAATAATCGTCTGCTTTTCGCATATAGGCCTACTTCCAAATAATCGTCTGCTTTTAACTCTTGTATTATAAAAACTACACAATCATAAAGTATTAACTCACAAAATAAATAAATTAATACTACCTACACTAAACAGTTTTTTTATATCTGACATGTTGGATATACTGACTACATCAAAACCAAACATTTTTGACAACAATGGATTGAAGTCAGACTTTTTTGCTTAAAAACAAACACAATATAATTTTCTTTATTGAAATAGTACATGGGACGAAAAACTGTTGTACATGGCCCACTAGACAATCATGTTGCATATACACTTTGATCCAAGGGATTGGGTTGACTGCACATTTTATATATACATATATATTCATCACTATTTTAAGAAAAATACTGTTGAATTGTTTCAATGGGCACCTGCTAGTCATATATAATAAGGCTTTAGAGGAATAACTTTTAACCCTAAAATTACAGACTTGTTTTACATCATTCACCACCTGTGGGGTTCACATATTACATCATAAATAATTTTATGCTTTTACCTGTTACAACATTCAGTATAAAAAACTGTTAAAAAATTTAGTGAAATCGCCAATTTCCTGTACATGAAACCAGCAGTAATTAGTGGGATTTACTAATGATATTCTTGAGATCTGCATTTTACAAGGGATGCTGCAATCACAAAGTCATAGACTCAGATGTCATTTGTCATATAAACAGTTTAGAACAATGTATTTAAATAACTGATAGGGCCCAGCTGAGTTCTATTTGTAAATCTAGAGTTAAATATGTAACACCATTTATTTATTGTAACTAGAATTGGTAAACTGGAAACATTTACAAATAAAAAGAGAAGTACAAACTTAAATATTACAAATTGGAAACAGATGAAGCTCAAGGACCAGACTAGATTTTCCTAGGGTTTTAAAAGTAAGTCAAAGGTTGTGGATTGTTTTATATTACTATTTTCATGAGGGAGGGGTGGTGATGAGGATTCCTTGCAAAAACAAATGGTTCCTTACTGCTTGGATGTTAACAATTCTAGAGATTCTCATAAAAGAAGCTTTTCCAAATTACTTAATGAAATATGATATAAAAGAAAGCCAACATGAATTCACTAACGGGAAATCATGTCTTACTAATCTGTTTCTAGGATGGTACTTATTACCTTGATGGTATAAAAGATATGAAAATAGTATGCTTAGATTTTATTACTAATTATTTTAAAAAGTATCACACTGATGGAAGTTGTGGAAAGGCTAGTAAATTAAATCATATAGTAGTTATATGGGAGAAAGCAAAAGGTTATCAACTGAGGTTAGTCAAACTGGACCTTTATTACTAGTACAGTACCTCGGGGATCTGTGTTTGGGACTTTGCTTTCTCTTCTTTACATCAAGTATATTGATGATGATATTATTAGTAGAGTTATCAAGGACATTAAACTCTTGGGCATTTCTAGCTGTATTAAAGATGTTGAAGCACTATGAATCAACTTGGATCAATTAGTTACTTGGACAAATAATCAGCAAATTTCCTTTAATTATAATAAGTGTATCTGAATTATAGTTTAGATTGCACGTTTAATACAGAAGGGAAGTCACTCAATGGTGTAACTGAAGAATGCATTGAATCTATGATTGATGCAGTGCTCTGTTGCTAGTGGCAAAGCTAATAAAATTTTAGGATGCATATAGAAAAATATTTATTATAAGTCAAAAAAGGTAATTATCACTAAACAAATCATTGGTTAAGACTCACCTGGAATATTGTAGTTTTGGTGTCTTTATGTTAAAAAGGATACTAACTTATTGGAAACGGTTCAGATGAAAGAATTATTTTAAAAGAATAGGCTTTTTCTCTTGAAAAAGAAAAGGATAAAGTGATTTTATAGAAGTTCACTAGAATATCTGGTGGATGGATAAAATAAAAGCCTCTGATTTCTTTGTGCTATATTTTTAACAAAACAGGACAAGAGGACACAAGTTTAATACTTTGAAACAGCAGGGTAGGCTGCTGTTAAGACTGTTGTATTTCCCTGAAAGGGGGCCAAAGGCCACCTGGTGGGGGTCACCTGTTTTAATCACTTGCACCATTATACCATAGTTCATTGTCTGTCAGTCAGTCAGTATACACTAAAATTACATCACATAAGAGATACTTAACACTGTAATTTGTACTGTCATGATGTCAGTAAAACATATGCATGCCACAAATCATGAAAAGAATTATGCACCCTGTAGGCTACAACATAGCATGACATATGAACTTCAAAAACAAGAAATAAAAATATTTGTTACTCTTAATTCTGGTTTTATTTACTCTTGAAACAGAACATGCAGAAATACATCTAGTTTTAATTGGGTTTTCTTGGCTTATGAAATGAATTTCCAACAGCAGTTGTACCAGTAGTAATAGAGGCCAGTACTTTACAAAATAATCTACAAGAACCTGAAAGATATAGGGCAGATTTTCTCTTTCTCAAGAGTGGGTGTGTGAGGACAGTCTGGAAGAACTGAATGATGTTTATTTAAATTGTTTTTCATACATCATGTTACATGTATGTGCAAATATTACTGCTGCTAGCTTGCACAATTTCAATGAATTTAACAGAAAAGCAGAGATATACTGTACTGTCATAAAACAGCCTCTTGAGTTCCTAGATTTCATTTCACATACAGCCCAACTATACGTAAAAATGTTTAAACTTGATTAATTATAAATTTACAATACAACTTAAACTAAAAGCAATGTCCAACGATGTCATGATGTAGTCTTCAATTCAGTACTCAATAGGATTATCTCTGCACCTTCAATTTCAAACAATGATGCCTTCGTTTGCCCTATTATTGTAATTAAAATAAAGCCTTATAACTTATATTTAAAAAACAATTACCACAATGCAAGAATTTCCCGTCATGATATTCAATTTCAAGAAAAAAGTTGCTCTTTTCTCGGAGTTCAAAATCTGGTCGTGTAACGTCGCACTCGGTGATTCCAACGTCGTATTACTACTGTAAATTGTAATACTAAGTAATAGTACTAGCAGTAATATTAATACTTAAGTTTTAAGCATAACTTCGTCAAACACACTGTTCAGTATTCTATTTCTAAGTTCTTTCCACTTGAAGTTGAAATCAAAAGTTGCGCGTTTATTTCTGTTCTACCTCTTTGGATGACTGGCCTACCTTGTAGCATACATTTTAATTTTTCGTACTGAATTTAGGTTTCAGTAACTACTTACAATTTGCACGAACCGTACAGTAAAATACCCTTAAACTGAATATTTTACATAACCTTACCTCTACTTTGGCAGAAGTTTGTACCGGTACCATACAGCGCTACCTACCAAACCAATAGTGAATGACCAAATTTGCAGCTTAATCTTTTCAACATGTATTACCGATATTGATTTTGATTAAGGTATGCGTTGTTGAGAACTGAAATTATGCAATTTTGATATTAATATTTTTATTGAACTTTATTTTCACCATCAAAATAAGAGTTGAAAATTTTCGATAAGTGAATGAAATGGGAAATCGATAATACTGTTACATAATAAAAACAGTAATTTTGAATATTTTAAATGTTTTGATCAATATCATCAAGTTACACTGGAACTCAGTTATTTATTTATAATGTCAGCCCTTTCCCACATTCGAAAACTACTGTCAATATTAATCAGTCACTGATACCTATCATAAAGACATGTCTTTCTTCAATATTATCAAAATCATATTATCAATGAACTAGCACTACGACTTTTGTGTTACGTCCGATAAATATTTTTGCATGGAATGATATAAAAACCATCTTTAAAACATGATGCGATGGTGCTGGTACTTTTCAAGTCAGTGAATACACAAATGCTTTTTAAGTTTTGCTGAAAGGGGGATAATGGCTTTTTATCAACTTATATGGCTGCAAAACGATCCTGTGGAGTTGCGAGACAAGGCTGTCCACTTACCAGCTACCCAGTACAGTTTTTAAACTTTTTTTTCTACCATAAATTTCCATCTGTAAGTGTTAGTTGTCTTGTTTTAACATACTTAGGTGTGATATCACCTGATATTATTTAATCAAGTGGATCTACTGAAGCCTAATATTCGTTACAGGTATTCATTACTTTCTAATACGACTCATTAGTATTTTCAACTTTATCTAAAATAATCAGAAACAAGTTTCGTCAACTAATCTATCGTCATCGCTAGGTGGTTGGTTTTTCAATTTATTTCACTTTAAATGCATGTTTTTGTTATTAATAGGAGCTTAGTTGAAGTGAAATAAAAAGATTTGATTGTTTTGAATTTCGCGCAAAGCTACACGAGGTCTATCTGCGCTAGCTGTTCCTAATTTAGCAGTGTAAGACTAGAGGGAAGGCAGCTAATCATCACCATACCACCGCCAACTCTTGGGCTACTCTTTTACCAATAAATAGTGGGATTGACCGTCACATTA